GAAGTCATTTAAAATACTTTTAGTACCCTAAAACATTATTGCAGTTATATGCAATTTGGAATTGGAAAACAGATTACAGATTTGTTTTTCAGTGTACACACACACACACAAATAAAAAAAAAAAAAAAAAAAAAACCAAAAAAAAAAAAAAACAGCTCTAGTCGTGGTTAGCATGTCTGGACAAATCGTTCCCCCAAATAAAGCAGAAATAAATTTTCTTTTGATATATGCTATTTACATTTTGTTTTCAGTGTAATAGTCTTACTGATACACAGAAATCGATTAATATTTCAGAATTTTGATTTGTAAATTAAATATGAAGTAGTTACAAAAAGCAACTAAAAACATTATTTTCACAAGCCTGATCTTTTCTGAAAATCAAGCATAGTTACAAGAATCCAATGTCCCACAGTTGAGGGAGAATCCTTGCTTTTTTTCTTTTTTACCATGTGTAACTTTAGGGGTTTTAAAAAAAAAATCTACAAAGAGATCAATAAATTTAAGTAAAACCAATCTTTCACAAAAACAAGTGATTCCTTTGTAATTTGTGAGAAAAAAAATACCTTGTTCTAAATGACATAATCATGTATAGATTATAAGGATTTAGCCCTCTGGAATTTTACATTTAGGATGGCATTTGCCATTCCAGATGGATATGGCAATTATACTATAATAATTAAGACTTTGTTTTATTTTTGTGTTTTCCACAAAGAATAAATATGGATTACCAATAAGACTTCTTTGAAATCACTATTTATTATCAAATTAGGTAACTGATTTGTGTCAAAAGTTTTCAAGCGTAAGTAATACATATTTTTACGAAAGACAGGCATAAAGGTGTGAAGCCTGTATATCAACTGAGGTCACTAAATTGAACAGCGTATGACAACTGGGATCATCTTAAACTTCTGTTTGATGATCCATGACTCTCTCCCCCATAAATTTTAAAGAATCAACAATTTTAGGGAAACCACAACTATTATCCATTACCATATGTTAAGCAGGAAACCGCAGATATGCTTTCCTTAAAAAAATATGTCATTGTTTATTCTTAATATGAAATAATTTTATTATATACAAAAATACTCAAAAGGCCCAAGTCATTCTTTCATTTGTCACTCAAAACTAATTTTGTCCACCTTCATTAGGTTTGGAAAAAAATGCATGGTACGTAGTGATAGTACATGAAATTCAGAACAGTCCGACTTACTTTGAGAGCATACAGGCCAGCCTTGCCAGGGATTTTGAAGAACGATCCATCCCCTATCCGAGTGTTAGTGTGAAGCATTGCATTCAGACAGGCTAATGGAGAGGTTCCACTAGAAAATAAAAGTGTGCGAAAATGAAGCAATCTGATATGCAGCTTCTGTGACAAAACTGTTCTCTGAATCTAAAAAAAAAAAAAAAAAAGACCTTCTTGCCTTCCTTTTTAAAATATCCTCCCAACCCTGAAAACATCTACATTACAATAACGGGCCAGTTTCACCAAAGTTAATCAAATGCATCTGTCTTACAGGCTTCAGGCAAAAAGTCTCCTAAATTGAAATTACTCCTTTATTCATAAAGCAACCAACACTGTATTTTAAAGAAACAAAAGTCCAAACTTTTATGTGGTATTGTTTTGTAAAATAACACCCTGAAACTTCAGTTTTAAAATATTAGAGACAACTTGATGGTTGCACTTGAATGATCAAAAAAAAAAAAAATACAGCCAAGTTCAAGGCAGAGCCATCTCATAGGTTGAAAAACAACAAAAGAATAATAAGAAACCAGGGAAGAACTGATTTGAAATTGTAAGCATTTAAGTCACTCACAGGAATGTATTTCTCACATGGCCAAAGACCAATCTATGTCTGTATTCATATCTCTTAGGCAGCTTCTATAATGACACTCTTTTCTCAGTTCTGTCAAATAAAGAAATATGTGTTTGGGAATCTTGCCCAGCTAATAATTATGTTCTACAGTAAAGATGCAAGTGACTGAGTTATGAAATCAACTTTTTAAAGAAATGTAACTAATGATTAAAATATCAATGCACATATGTGCAAACATTACTGAGAAGTATTCTTGTAACTACCAAGATGTTTACAAAGTATATACTGTGTATATACTTCCTGAGGTAGATTTTAGATATTTTATTTTACTTTCAAACTAATGTTTTCAAAGTAGTATTTAAGCTAGAGTTATTGTTTTCATTTAATTATGCTTCCATCTATGTTTAATTTCCTACTATGTCAAAAGACCATATTTGACCAAAACAATTTTGATTATAAGCATTCCCAACACCTCATGTGCCTCTTTGGAAACATAGGTACTTAACCCAAAATTTTCTAAGACATAGGGCTTTTAAAATATCAAACTTTTAAACTTCGAACTTCTGGGTTAAAAACAACTTCATGTTACAAACTTAAAGTTTCTATCAATCCAGACTATCAAATCTCTTACTATGAAAATTCACCAGTAAAATAAAAGAGTCAAATTTGCTGAGTTGTTACAGCATACTTAACAGTAAGTCAGTATATACATGCATCATGGCCATAAAGGTTTATAAGCATTATAATAATATGAAGGTTTTTACTCTCCATTATTTAAGGATTCAGCTTCGCAGGACCAACACATAAATAATGATTTCAATGGATCTGACAAGAAATAAGAGTCCTGATATAAATCTGGTCATAGAACAATGTAGTTGTAGCATTGAAGTATATGTGGTAATAATGCTGTGTGCTTATGTAATAGTTTTACTCATGAAATTCCTAGAAGCCTACAGGCCTCATTTCAATATTTTCCCATACAAAAGATTTTCTTTCTAAGTGAGCCCAAGCATACCTATAAAGTGAAATATATTCATCTCCCTAGAAATTTCTCTCACTGAATGTATTCCAGATAAATAATGCAATACAAGTTATACTGAATACTGCAAAATATACATTTGAACATTATACTCTTTGCAAAATTTGAAGCTGGGAAAGACTGTGCCAGATTTTTGGAGCTTTAATTTAGGGAAACTGTCAGAAATACAGACTTTCCGTAGGGACTTGGCAAGAAGATGTTAACATGACAAGTAAAATAGACTACAATACATTAAAAATGACAGCGTAGATTTTTTTAGAATGCAGCCTAATAAAATTGTCCATCTAATATGAAACCTCACAAACCTTCTCCATGCTCTTGATTACTAAGCTCCAAATACACACAATTCTAAGAATTTAGATTTAGAACATGGAGCAATACAGATTTAAAAGTAACTTAGAAATACCGAATAAACATAACACCACTAAAATTTACATTATCTTTCTAAGGTAAAGATAATTATAGGAGATAAATTTACTCCTATAGGAGATAAAACTACTAAATAGCAGTTTAGTGCATGCTTACTGCAAACACATGTGTTAAATACCCAGTTTCAGACAAGTAGTAAGCTCTATTGAGCACGAGAATAATATTACATTATATGCTTATTAACTCAAGAAGCTCAAGATTAATATAGAAGAATTTGAATACATGTAATTCAAAATCATATGACCTTACCTCTTCAAAAGTCTAAATGACTATTATAATTTCCCCAAATCTTTCCAAAAGCAAACTTTGGAAATTTATTTTATTTTGAAACACTTATATCCCAGAAGAATAAAGACAACTATTTTACAACTTTGTTCACTCAATGTCTAGCCACATGGTACTAAGCATATTAATTAATTTTTATCTATGCTATCTAAAAACAATTTCTAAAGTCACCAAAAGAGTTTAATACTTCTCAAGAAGTAACTGATTCATCTTTTTTCCCCATAGCTCCTCCAGGGTTTGTTATTGGTTGACTTCTTGATTATAGTAATTCTTTCTGGTATGAGATGGAATCTCAGTGTTCTTTAAATTTGCATTTCTTGAATGACTAATGATGTTGAACATTTGTGCATATGTTTATTTGCTACTTGTATTTCTTCACCTGAGAAGTGTATATTCATCTTAGATGCCCACAGCTCAATTGGGCCTTTGAATTTTGGGGGCCTGATTTTTTAAAATTCTCTATATGTTCTGCAGAGAAGTCTGAGGGATAGTCAGGTAATTTTTTTTCTCAAATCATAGGCTTTCTTTTTACTCTCTTAGTGATTTCTTAATGCAATAGACCTAAGAGGAAAACACAAAAGTCTTTCCTTTTACCCGTTCTTACTGATTTCTAATTATGTCATCAATTCCATAAAATCTAGAAACCCTGTACATCTTCTTTTGAAGAAATGTATGGTTTTAATTAACTAGTACTCACTAGGAATAAATTAAAATCTTATTTACATAATTGTATTATATTGGGAAAATCAAATTACAACTACATTTGATAAATCTATATTTAAAACACAAAGAATAATAACTGTGAAAGAAGATGAAACAAATACGCTTCCAAAGTCTGCATTTTGAGAAATCATGAACACCTATGAAAAGTTGCTTATTTCTAGTTTAATCAAAAAATTTAGAGTTAATGTTAAAGTTAATCACCTAAGTCAAAATTAGAACATTAACAATTCTGCAAATGTCTATGTAGTAATAAAATTATCAACGTTTCAACAAAATAGCTCTGAAATTTCAGAAGTACTTACTTTCTAACAAGATGAATTGGAGGAATCATCACATTCCAATTTATAAAAGGAAAAGAAAGAAAAATAGTTAGTTTTATGCCATAAAATATAATTCTTTATTTTACCTTTCCAATACAAGAACTTTCCATGTACAAGAACTAGACCAAAGTCTACGTTTGTCTGTGGTGATGTAGGGACAGAAAAAGGCTGGAAGCTAAAAGATGACTTCAGCTTTCTTCCCTAAGGGCTCTACAATATTTCCATTTCATCTAGAATACACAAATATTTTCATATTAGAAATCCAATAAGAAATAGGTAAGCAGGATGACACTTGGCCCGGGTTCCTTCCTTTCTTCCAGCCCCTACCAGTGGCCTTTCCTATCCACCTGCCATGGTAGATAGACAGCTTATTCCACATGTTTGTTTTTCTTCCTAGACTGTGGGGCTGGGGCACCCCTCTGATTTGTTTTTGTTTCCCACAACCCCTGAAGCAGAACAGGGGTGGAATTTGGAGGCAGAAGAGCAAGCATAATTTAAACTGTCTAGACATCAAAGGACCCCCAGAGATACTTTGCAGAGCCCTGATGTGTCGTGAAATACAGAAAAAAACATTGCTTTATTCCATCAAATCACTGATGGAATACATAAAATTTGTATTAATACTGAGTACTCAGAGAAGGGAATGGTTAATCTATTTACACACTTTTAAAAACTAGGGAAAGAATAGGAGAAAGATTTGTGGACATGATAAAAAATAGAACCATGAGCCTCCATTCCTGTATATATAAAATAATGCCTTACCAGACAATATTTAAGTAGCCCACACCTTAAAAGTACTGGATTACTGATGCAGCTTGCTTGCTTTTTTCTTTTCTTTCTTTTTTTTCTTTTTTCCCAGAACCAGGGATTAAACTTAGGCTCTTGCACTTGCCAAGGAAGCGCTTATTTACTGAGCCATCTCCCCGGCCCTTGTAGGTTTCAATAAAAATTTTACAAGCTATTTTTTTAAACATTCTAAAATCTCACTTTTCAAGTATGGAAATATCAACATTTAATCTTTTGTAGCATGAGTCTAGAAACTCAACAGATTGAATACACAATTATTACATACTACTGGATAGTACTACTAATACACTTATACACCCACTCTTTCAGAAATGATTAATAGCTTCTTTACTGTTAGCTCTGAGATAATATCAATGATAAAGTGTACATTTTTAATAGCAAATTCTGTGGTCCTAGTGGTACTAATAAGATCTGTAGTATTTATATAAGATCTTTGTGCTCACCTTATGAAAATTAAACTGTTTATCCTTAGAATGTATAATATATATTCATATCTATATGTATTACACTGTACAAAAATGTTAGAAGTGAATAATTTACCATTGAATTAATTTGGCTATTTATATATTTAATGGATATGTCCCTACTAGTGGAGGATAAATTACTTTTACTGGTGAATGAGACTGATTTCTAAACACACAAGGTAATATAATGTCCATCAGCTGATGATTAAAAAACTTAGAAAATTAAGACCAAACTAACTTCTATTCATAAGAAATATTAGTGCTACAGCAAGATCTTCAAACTATGAAATAAACCTTTATGAAAAGTAAATATAAAACATATCTAAATATCTAAGATGTATATGACTACTTATATCATTGAATAACCTCTGTACAAAATAGAGATAAAATGCAATTTGCAACAACCTAAAGTTTAATGTTGAAGAACAGTACAAACTTGATGGTCCCTTTAACATCACTAATTTTTAGCAAACACTGACATATGAAGAATAACAAATAGTTTAGAAAAATTTAAAATACATTGGAAAAACCAATCAACTCAAGTAAGAGGTCATATTTAAGATAAAGATATACTGTAAATTGTTGTTACAATTATCTACATAATTTTCAATATTTAATGTCTCTAAGGCAAAGCTGTAAATAGGGTTCTGTTACTTTTGTCAGGTGACGATATTGAAGTCAAATAATTACCAAAATATAATGCATAATTTCTTCTTAAAAACTGAAGCATAGTTATACCTCCAAGTCTCAAAATTGTGTTTAATTGATTTGAACAATGTAAAAGTGTGTACTCAGAATGTCAACAGATTTAGACTTTTTAATCCACTTTATACAGACTACCAAGATACTATTAGCTACTATTGTATGTAATAATTCATACAAACATACTCACTAAGCTGACCTTTGTTTTAGGAGGCAAAAATTCTAAATCATTAAAGGAAGGACAAAAGTTTATTTAGTATTATTTAAATGCACAATATAGCCTTAGATAAGTATTAATAAAACATGTAATCTAAAATTTTG